AGTTTTAATTAATTAAGGCCCCTCTACATAATAATCCAGTATGGCGCAAAACGGTTTCGGTGTAAACGCAGCGGCAGTACACCGCATACCGCAAGGGCGGTAACAACGTTCCATGCTGCGCACACACACAAACATACTCAATGTAAAAGCAGAAACAATAATCTAATCATTGTGCGTTATATGCCCCGTACCTACTGAAAGGGTACCTATTTGTTGGAACTTATCATTAATGTTGGTGAATAGGAGGCTGTTGAGAGGGTCACGATAGGTCAATGTCATCACTAACATCAAGCATAAATTAAACATGACGAAACTATTTACTTCTAAAACAATTTATTTTCTCAAAAACATTTTAGATACACTCTAGTCGTAAAAAATACATATTTGACCTAGACCTATAACTAATAGAACATCTGAACAAATAAACAATGTGCGAATAAATGCGCGAAGTTAACAAAGCAACAATTGAAAGATTACCATTGGGTAACATCGCCTTTATTTTTTATTACGGCTGAAACTCTTTGGGGCATAGTGTTAACCAAGTTTTGGCAAAAATCTGGTGTAAAACAATCCCATATTTCTTGACGCTTTTGTCTCAGTTCGGTGATTGTCCGAGCAGGATATTGTCTTATAATCCTTTTCATCTCGTGCCACAAAGTTTCAACAGGTGACAGATCTGGACTGCTAGAAACCCATTTCAAAAGTGGTACATTATTTTCTTCCATCCATTTTATAGCCTTTTTTGAGGTATGGCACGCTGCACCATCTTGCTGAAACACAAAATCTTGGTCGGATGTCAAACATTCTTTCATCACTGGTAAAAGCGATTCTTCTAAAATTGCCAAATATTTGTTTGTATCCACATTTCCATCAATAAAATGAAGTTTTCCTACTCCTTTTGATGACATACTGCCCCAGACCATATTGGATGCTGGAAATTTCACTTTTCTCTTCAGACAGTCAACATGGAATGCTTCATTTTTTTTGCGAATAACTCTACTGCGACTGTCACCAACACAAACTTCGAATCGAGCCTCCTCACTCCATTGTATTGCACACCATTGTTGAGGTGTCCATTGTCTATGTTCTTTAGCCCATCTAAGCCGATTGAAATCAGACTGAAATCCTGGGTGCGCCACTGTGTCTTATGCTAGGAAGGCTTCTCAAGCAGGTCAATTTACTTTATTGGTATTAGGGTTACAACCAGAAGAACAGTATTTCAACAAACTTGAATCAAGATCAAAACCCTAAGAAGACAAATGTCGAAATGCAGTTAATTTACGATTCAAATGCCCTTTCGCGTCAGACACCTCATGTCGGATTCCATTAAGCCGTTTGGGATGAAACCCGTGAAATAGATATTTTCCGGGATAAAAGTGGCGTACGTGGTATTCCAGACATTAATTCATTCGTCTACCAAATTTCATCCAGATGCGTTTAGTCATTTTGACGTGACCGAGTAACAGACATCCAAAGTTGTTCGAACTGTTCATACAGCGCCCTGAGTCATCTACCTGACATCGTTCTCAAGAACGATTGGAAATATCTCTCCCGAAACCTACCAAAAAGTGATGGAAAATGTAATCAAGATGGATGAGGCTTGAGCGGCTTCTAGAGGTGGACATCTGTCTGATATTATTTTTCATACATAATTTCTGAGTTTCAATAAAATAATAAGATGAAAAAAACGGACGTATCTTATTTCATTCCACAACTATTCAAGATACAAACCGGTCAGGTACATATCGGCCACCCTGTATAAGAGCTAAGTATATTAAGCTGCCATTACAATCCACAAGCGCCACGTACTCGTAATGCAGATCAATTGATTCATCAGCAAATAGTCTACTGCGATGCCGAATGACGCGACATCGCCCGTCTACAATCTCATTTCCATTTAAAATGCGAGATAGGCAAATCCTCATACATCGTCGGCTTAAGAATTTCCATTCCCTCCACCGCAATAAAAAGGAGACTCTAATTCGAGAATTGGTATCCGGCCAATTTTGGCAACGTAGAGGACTTCTAGTAACAGGAAATGGAACGAGAAAGCGTTTTGCTCTTAGAGTTTGTTACAGCGATTTAAAGTATTATTAAATCATAGATATTGTATCATATAATTACAATAATTAAGATAGTTGAACAAGGGCATGATATATCATGTGAAGATATTTTTCCCTCAAAAAATTGCTGAAATATTACACCTATTACAGCTGTGGTCCTCAGTATCCGCTTCTGCAATATAAGAACCATCTGCATATACAGGGTGGCGCATCGAAAACGAAACAGACGCATTTACTGGCAGCTCAGTTTTTTTTTTTGAAAAACGCTCAGACCCGTCGATTTTGTTTTCGAGGGGGACACAAGTTTGGCAAAAAATCACGTAAGCACGTGCAACTCCCTAAGCGGGGGTGACACCATCCCCAAAATCTTAAATGGGTGTGATACCTTATTTCAAAGGTCTTTCAATTCCCTTTATAATGATATAAAATTAATATACTTCAGTTCAGTAGTTTTGAATATTTCTTGATTTAAAGCTTTAAGTAGACTTTAATAGGTACATCATATTAGTTTGTACTACTTTTAGAAGAAATTTGACTAAGAGGATTAAATTAAAAGGTAAATGCTTTTCTTCACTACCCCCATGGTTTGTTTATCATTTTGTTGTTGAAAATAGCTATTGGAGGTTTTTTTTGTGGCAAAAAAGTTATTTCTTGAAGAAACATAAGGAAATAACTCGTACTAATTCTAAATAGGAATTTAGTACATAGTTTGCGATTGATTTGACCAAACTTTGTGAAGATATGAGTGAACGAATGGTAAACGATGAACATTTTCTATTCAACACTTGATTTTTCGACAAACTGGGTCAGTCGCTAATAAAAAACGCAACATTGAAAATCCCATAAAGAACGAAGCAATAGAAGTGGGGGTTTTAGGGAAAGTTTATGTAGATCCTACGTTAAGTACCCGCAAATTGGAGACTGTGTGTGGTGTTAGTCGACGTACTGTCCAACGGATTCTAAAGGTCCATAGTTTTCATCCGTATAAAATTCACCTGGTACAAGAACTTAATGAGGACGATTTTGATCGGCGATTACAATTTTGTGATGATACGAGTGAACGAATTATAAACGATGAACATTTTCTATTCAACAGTTGCTTTTCCGACGAATGTTCCTTTTTCTGAAATGGCGTAGTAAATCGTCATAACTGCCAACATTGGTCCGATTCTAATCCCAGAATTTATCATGAGGTTCATACACAGCACCCACAAAAATTAAATGTTTGGGCTGGTGTTTTTGGCGATCATTTAGTTGGCCCTTTTTTCTTTCCTGGAAATTTGACCGGTGAAATGTATTTGGAATTACTGGAAGACGCAATAGATCCTGCATTAACAGCCATAATTGAAAATCAGAATGATCGGAGGTACATTACGAATAGGTTGATGTTCCAACAGGATGATGCCCCACCACATTACGCATTACGTGTTCGACAATATTTAGATCAGACGTTTCCAGATCGATGGATTGGTACAAGAATGGTCCCCAAGATCTCCAGATTTATCACCTTTCGATTTCTTTATGTCGGGTCATTTAAAAAGCAAAATATGCTACTCAGCCAACATCATTAGACGACCTGCGACAAAGAATTGTGAATGAGTGCCTTCAAATTACTCCTCAAATATTGCAAAATGTGCGGCAACGTTTTGAGCAAAATCTTTATTATTGCATGGAGAGTCATGGTGGCCATTTTCAACATTTACTTGCCTAACGGATCAGTTCATTTTTCACTTTTAAATTACTTTGCTGCCAAATGTATTGATCTCCACTAATGATGATGTATTAGTTTTATTTAAGCTTTAAATCAATAAATCTTCAAAACTACTGAACTGAAGTACATTAATTTTGTATCATTATAAAGGGAATTAAATGACCTTTAAAATAAGGTATCACTCGACGCCCCTTTCCATTTAAGATTTTGGGGGCGGTGTCACCCCCGCTTACGGGGCTGCACGTGCTAACGTGATTTTTTTCCAAACTTGTGTCCCCCTCGAAAACAACATCGACCGGTCTGAGCGTTTTTCAAAAAAAAAAACTGAGCTGCCAGTAAATGCGTCTGTTTCGTTTTCGATGCGCCACCCTGTGTGATTTGATGTACCCAACGCCTATAACACCAAATCGTCGTATTATATAAATGCTCGCTAACATGTTCCTCATCTGCTTTATAGTGTTGTCACCTTGTAGATATTTCGAAATGTATGTGGTGCGCGTACATCTCTGGCGGGATTTTAATTATTCCTTGTGTTGTAAAAAGCCGTTGGATGAAAAATGTCCTCCTCGACACCAGACTATATTGTTGTTGTTCGTCTGTTAATCAATACTGTGTACGTAATCTTTGAGATGCTCACATACACCACGTCTCAATTTCACTACATTCGCTAAACGGTGAAAAAAAGTACAGGGATGCAAATTTCATGCTTCCGACGAACATGTTTTGGTAATCGTTGCTCAAATTACCTATTGCACTGGATTGACTACAACATTTTCTAATAGCCTACAAGGCAGAAATGTACAGCGGTTTCCTATTATCTTTTGTGAAAATGAGCAGACCTTGTTGGTAACTAACTCACCAAAGTATTTTCCAGGCTACGGAGTTATAGATCTAAAGAAAACTGCAATATCAAATAAAGCCAACAGACGAATAGGTAGCAAACTGCGATACACATGTAATACGAGCTGTATAAGTTGGATTCAGATGAACCGAAAGCGACATATTCCTATTGCAGTAACAATATGATATTTGTTTACGATGTCTTCAAGATTCAGACCTTCTAAAAACGTATGGTATACTCGTAGTTGTTACTGATAATAATAACATAGACGTGTCGATTCATAACCAGCTTCCCATCGATGAGCAGCTGGCGATTCGGCAGTTTTTGTCAAGGTGACAAAGAATTTGACCCTCTTCAAGATGCTACTTTTATAAAAGAACCTTCTTTATAACGAAAGGTGAGCATACAAAAGTTGACCTGTGTCAGTTGCGTCATCTCTCGTTTATGTAACCATACAGGGCGAAAACCTTAAGTGTACTTTTAAAAGGGCTATACAAGTACATAATGAGCCGTATTCATAAAAGGGAAGCATATCCTCGAAAGCATAAGGTAAAAGTATAAGGTGTTGCTTCGGAGAAAAAGGTAGAAGTATAAGCATAACCTTGTTTTCATATTCATAATGATTACCTTATACTCGCGAGGATATCCTCCAGGAAGAAGTAAAAGGTTGACGGGTATTTGTATCTTGAGCGACATGTACTGACTTGTTCCAGCTTGTAGTTGACGTGGGAGTTTGTTCACTCAACATCACTGACAGTTGTACTCCAGAGAATACACAGTCATCCTCAAGTGATGAGGAACCCATAGAAAATAATGGCAACGACCTGCAGTTCATCGCAGATGAAATTGCCATTGCTCCCATTATTTTCCAAAAGTCACAAGCTCCAAACATAAAAATGAGAAAGGACGATGCCTTGAAGAAGATGTTGAAAATACGAATCAGCATACGGTAAACCATTAGATACTAAGGCCCGTATCGTCAGTCGTCCCTACAATTGTAGGGCGCGTTTATGGCCTCCTTGATTGTCATACTAATTTCTCTCCTTCAAAAATATCTAGATTACACTTGTCCCCTGTCAGCGTCAGCGCTCTCCTGTTGTGAAGATATGTTTTCTTTTTAAAATGTAGGGAATTTCAGGCTGATAAGACATGATATAACTCAAAAGCAAGCACAATTTGATGCAAATAGATGTTTGTGACATAACCTCAAAATAGAGCGCTGACACGGAGAAGTAGAAAACTATGACAATCAAGGAGGCCATAAAGGCGCCCTACAATTGTAGGGACGACTGACGATACAGGCCTTAGACTTGAAGTTAGAAAATATCAACGAAGCATTATCGCGAAAGTTGAATTTTGCACACCCTGTACGGCCAAGCTGAGCGTATCTCTGTTAATAGCTTTTATGCCGCGAGGTTTTCTCTTTGTGTGCAAGTTTCTTTTGTGTTTTACCATGCATACATATGGAAACAAATATGGAGCACGTCATACTATAGTTTAAAGATGCTCACGTCTAGACGGATAGCCTATTTCCAGCATCCTAAATCTGTATTAAACCTGACCTCAATTTTATTAAATTGTGACCTGCCTAAACATGGTAAGGATTCTCTGATTATCGGGATCACCAAACCGTTTGCAGTTTCTCATTTTTTCATCGTACATCTTTCAATAATTAGAATATTCTTGCCGACATCTTGGAAAAGGTACAGTTCCGGAATGAAAGGACTTCGGATGACCCACTTTTGACACATTTTGAAATGTAGTACATGTTCTTGAACGATTGTAATAAGTAATTTTACGCCGGAATTATATGGAGATGGCTTCCACCAATTTGCAAAACGGCAACAAGATGCAATCAACTGGAGGAGAAAGGATGATGATCCTCTTCTGTTGAGTGACACAAAAAAAGGGTGCTAGTCCATGAATTGGCGCTTGGGGCCTAATATCCCAGAGTCCGGAAAATGACGAAACGACCCTTGCACCACGATCTCAAAGGAAACAGAAAAGCGAATCACGCAGAACACGTAACGTTCTGGAAGAAGGTATCTTGAGTGGCCTTGAAGAAGGTATGTTTTATAGGAAACCAACTAACGGAGCAAAACTGCAGAGTTTTTTGGTGATCGACAACACCATACTGAATCGCTGAGAAAGAAGAATATAATACGGATGAAATTATACAATCAATAAACTATTAAATTTGCCCAAAGAAAATCATTGAAAAGGGTTTGGCCTAGGAATGAAGAGAAATTCAAATTACTGATAAGTGATAAATAGAAAAAAAAGGTTACGTCCTCAAAGTTGGAAGCGTGACTGTTTCACATATACTCGAATAGTTATCAGTTATTAGAGTAAGTTGCCCAAAAAAAGTTAATGAGGACGAAAGTACCTTACAATAAGATATTATGCGGCCAATTTTTGGTAACGGGTAATGTTTTATTCTAAAAAATCGCCAGAAATCGTCGATTTCAGCATTTATCCTTCACTGTAAAGTGCAGAACGGTAAATCTGAAATAATAGACAAAATTTGTGCCTCCAACTAGCGAAACTTTTCTTATCTTACGGCGATGGGCCTTTTTATACCCTGAAGAACATAATTCCGTTGTAAAACAGCTCATTTCAATTTTTCTCTCGAATTCGAGATATCTTGGTCTACTATGGAAGATGTACTAACCTCCTCGCGAGAGCAGAGAACACAGCGATGTTTGCGTTAGTCTCCATTAGTCAAGATAACGCGCCTAACAAGCAAAAGAATGCAGCAGCGATGGCCGCAGTAGTATACTCTTCGGTCTTCTGATCAGTCGCCGTGCGCTGTGTGGGTTCGAGTCCCGTCGCAGGAGAAATTTTGCTCTTGGCTATGGATGTTGTGATTGTTCGTAGGTGGTAGATGGTCTCTGACTGTCGAACGCGGAGGTACCACCCGGCGGTTGTCGTAGGCGGAGCTAGAATGTGTGCATGTTGCATGCACACGTGTTCCCTCGCCAGAGTCCGCGTGGCGTCCCTCCCATTTCCCATGTATCCCCCTATACCCCACGGTACCCAATGGGTGCTTAGGCCTTAGGCCTTCGTGGTAGTTGGAGTATAAAGAAAAAAGAAAAAAAAAGTCAAGTTCAGTGTGAGATTTCCATTACAAATAATCATCTCATTTGGTTCGCATGTCATACACTTATTTCCATCCTTTTTACCATATCATCTAAGTACCTATCATCAAAATGATATTTACAGCAGTACAATGATATTTCCGAAAGGTCCAAGTTTATCGTACCTGGCCCTCTGCTCCTAATACTACGTTGTGACATAGTTCAGCATCTTTATTCTGGATCTGCTATGCCTGTATTTGTACGTTTGTCATTTTTCAAGATATTCAAAGGATGTTTTCAATGCTGTACCTCAACTTGACACAGCGTTTGGTTAGTTAAACTAAGAGATGAAACTTTGGTTACCATGCTAAAAAGTGCTGCCTCCATCCGCTATCTTCCTCGCGAGAGTCGAGAATGCAGCGAAATTCGCGACACTCACCATTAGTCAAGATAACGCGCCTGACAAAACCAAATGAATTCAATCAAGTTCAGTGCGCGATTTCCATTCCAAATATTCAACACGCTTCATTTACGTTCGTATGTCGTTCAGTATTAATACGTGCTCAATTACCTGAATCAGTCGGGTAAATGTCACATGATTGTTGGAGAACCTGAAGGCGTCGTCACACATTTAACGTCGCATTACACCTTCAATCTATCCAATAAATCTGTGGTTTGCATGCAGCATACGAGTATATCAGAGACATCAAGCAGGGGTTACCTATCGCTAGCGTGACGTAGAGGTGTTCGTCTTCAGTTTGAAAAAGAAATAATTTCTATTCAAATGTCTACTAACAGACACCTGATAGTGTAAACTGAATACTTTTATGACTAACCACATATACAGGGCGTCAATAACACGTCAGAGTGACACGGGGGGTAAATTGGCTTCAAACCAATCAGGTAAAATCAATCTGACCTTGGTAAAAATTTTATAGTTTCCGAGATATTTCCACTAAGAAGTTTTTTTAAATAACCCCTACGTATTTCCTCCCTTTTTGCCTGTTATGAATATAAAGAACTTATGAAGTAATGAAGTAATAGCTGGTCGAGACAGCCGAGAATTAATTTCATTGAAAACTATAACACGGTATGATAAAAAAAACTACATTTATTAAATTACCAGACTGAATCAGCAAATGGGCTTAAAATCTAGCTATCTAATGCTCTTTCAAAAATAGTATAACATTTGTAGGTTCTTATTACTAAAAATAAATAATTCCAGTTTTTGTTGTTGTAGTTGCTGTAATAGCTTTTTATTTTAGCATACAGTAATGGACAAAAGTATATAGACAAATTAATATTGAGCTGTATTTCTTTTTTAACTTGTTTTATTAATACACCAACCTGTATACATACTTCATTATAGCAGCAAAAAGTTCATCCTTGTTTGAATACTTTTTATCTCGTATTTGCTTATCTAAGTATTCTCATAGATTTTCAATTTGGTTTATATCGGAAGACTATGAAGGCCATTTGAGAACTGGCATTTTTTCATCCAGAAAGAATTTCTTTGCGAGATTTGAAGTGTGCTTCGGGTCATTATCTTGCTGGAAGATTGATCTTAAAGGCATATTGTCTTCCATATAGGGTAACACGACATGATTTAGTATGTCTGTGTATACAAACTCATCAATAATACGAAAAGCACAACAAAACCAAAACAGACCCGCCTCCATGTTTGACAGTGGACAAAGTGTACTTGGGGTTCAATCTTTGTCCTCTAGGGCGTCTAACATAATGAACACCATCTGATCCAAATATACTGAACTTGGATTCGTCACTGAAACATACCCTCTTCCAGTCACAGATGCTCCAACCAAGTTTAACCGTGCAAATTGTAATCGGTCCTTACGGTTTCTCGAGACTAGCGGATTCTTACTCGGGTGACGTGCAAATAACTTCAAATCATTTAATCTTCTAATTATAGTTTTCGTAGAAACACTGACAATTCCTTTTGTCTCGATTTCGGCTTCTATTTGTCTTGGGGTTTTAAACGGATCTTTGGACGAAATTACTTTTATTAATCTAACTGATCTAGCATTTAGGCTGCTGTACTTAAAAACTGCGCTTCAGCACTGGCCCTACCATTAAGCTTGATATTCACATCGTCTTTTAGATCTCATACCCTACCCTCATGCTGGCTTAGTGCTTCTGTTACCCCTGTATTCAAAAAGGGCGACAAATCCTCCGCTAAAAATTATCGACCAATAAGTCTCGTTCCTATCGCCGCCAAAATAGCTGAAAGAATCATATTAGATAAGCTCCTGTCATTTGCTTTCGAAAATGACCTTATCCCTAAGAATCAGCATGGATTTCTCCCTGGTCGATCAATAATGACCAACCTTCTCCACTCTCTCAACGATTGGACTCAGTATCTGGACACAAAGACTCCTGTTGATATAATCTACTTAGATTTTTCTAGGGCTTTCGATCGCGTACCACATAGAAGGCTCCTGTTTAAGTTGGAATGTATGGGAATAAGAGGCGAGTTGTTACTGTGGATTAAGGCGGGAGGACTTTTTCTGTGCGCGTCAGTGATAGCCAGTCTCACCTTCATCATGTAGCAAGTGGAGTTCCTCAAGGCTCTGTCTTGGGGCCAGTGCTGTTCCTTCTGTA